AAATCCAAAACAATTGGAGAGTTAGCATTTGTATACCTAACTTACATTTCTAGAAGGCATAAACAAAATTTCATGCCTCATTGAGTGCTAAGAAAACTTAGTTATGTCCCTAAATTCTGTGAATAAAAACTCTGACATTTTAGTGACTATAACAGTCAGTGGGTTTTTGAGTCCATCTGATGGCACTTTAGAACACCTGCATCTTTCCAACTAACAGAGAACAAAATAAGCATCTTTTGAATCAACAACGTATCTCTTATAAGTAAGAAGTGAACAAATAAAAAACATCCCAAACATTTAGAAAGAAGAATTACACAGAAAGTTTTTTACTACACAGATCTGAAATTAATGATCGTATAACGAGCTTGAGTGAACAAAGTACAGTCAAATGAGGAGAGAAAGGCGTGTGTGTGAGGAAGGCAGTATACTGCAGTGGCAGAGATTGAAACTACACAGACATCAGATTTTACTTGCTTGTTTCATGCATCATGTAAAATATATGCTTTCACTGAATAATAAGAATGAAGGAATACCTGACATGAATTTTCCAAGTTGTGAGCCCAAGTATACACAGAGACTGATCAAATAACATACAATTCATCAAGAAAGAGTCAGGGAGTGCTGTGTACCAATGGATGACACTTTCCAAGCAGCTCAGCTAGAAGACAGGAAGCCTGCACCCTGTGTACATTCGAACACTCACTGCAGAGAGCACATTTCTACAGGATCACTAGAGTTGAATGTTTCCAAATGCCCCTAATGCCATCTCTGAGATTCTAAGAAATACATGAAAAAGGACAAACAGTAAAGTCTTTAAAACAATACACAAAGGGAAGCAGTATAAATACAAAAGCTGTTATTAATACACTGAAAATATTGTCTTCAATACAGAGATACAGCTTACTTAGCCATACTTTTCCTATCTAATACATAAAGTTGAGTAGGAGAAAAGCATTCATATTGTGGTCATTGCTTTAGCAGGTTACAGGCAATCTTTGTCTCTCACCCCTCTGAAATACTACCAACTCCATGCCCCTTTATTTGTGGGTTATTTTCAGTTTCATTAAAATACATTATCAGCAGTAAAAGACAAAATTGTGCCAGAATTCTTAATTTTACCTTTTGTAGATTTTTTTTTTCTCACAACCCTAATATCCTTTGCATAAAGTTTTTTAGGATATAACAAGCTAAGGAAAAAAAGACAGATTTAATGACTATTGCAAGGAAGTCCTATTTAAATAGCACATTTCATGATTCATATAAATTTTATCTCTTTGTTTCAATGGTGCATTGTACCATTTCCCATTTACCACTGAATAACTAAAAAAGAAAGTCATTCCATGTCTAGTCAGTACCATCTAGAAAGACTATCACACAGGACCAGTTCGAATTTTCACAATCAAAAAATTGTTGTAATGTCAGCCTGCAGGGTTGGCTCATATTCCTTGGTGACTATTGTATATAGAACACTTTGTGATTACAACTGGAAATGCTGACAGTGATTAAAAACCAGGTTTTGCAGACCAGTGCTAAACAACTGGGGTTTGCAGATCAGCTATAAGCTCATAGAGGAAATTCACAGAACCACAGAACACCTGAGGTTGGAAGGGACTTCTGGAGGTCATCTGGTCCAATCCCCCTGCTCAAGCAGGGCCACCTACAACCAGTTGCCCAGGACCATGTCCAGGCGGCTTTTGAATACCTCCAAGGATGGAGACTCCACAACCTCCCTGGGCAGCCTATGCCAGTGCTCAGTCCTCACAGTAAAAAAAGTGATTCCTGATGTTCAAAGAGAACATCCTGTGTTTCAGTTTGTGCCCATTACCTCTTGTCCTGTCACTGGGCACCAGTGAAAAGAGCCTGGCTCCATCTTCTTTGCGCCGTTCTTTCAGGTATTTATAAATATTGATGAGATCTCCCTCTCTGCCTTCTCTGCTCTAGGCTAAATAGTCCCAGCTCTCTTAGCCTTTCCTTATATGTGAGATGCTCCTGTCCTTTCATCATCTTTGTGGCCCTTTGTTGGACTCTCTCTAGAATGTCCGTGTCTCTCTTGTACCTGAGAAGCCCACAATTGGACACAGTACTCCAGGTGTGGCCTCACCAGTGCTGAGGGGAAGGATCACCATCCTCGACTTGCTGGCAAAACTCTTCATAATGCAGCCCAGGATGCCATTTGCCTCCTTTGTTGCAAGGGTACATTGCTGGCTCATGTTCAACTTGGCATCCACCAGGACCTCAGGTTCTTTTCTGCAAAGCTGCATACGCGCACCCCCACCCACCACTCTGGTTTTTGTCTTTTTTTTTTTTTTTCTTTTTTCCCAGTTTGCTAGTGGCAGTACTAGGACATCCGTGGAATTACCTGCATCAACAACAGCTAGAAATGATGGCAAAATGCAGCTTTATATCACTACATTTCTGCTTCTGGACTTTATTTTTTAAATAAATTATTAACTGTGGTGCAACATGACTGGAAAGTGAGTCAAGCTCATAGAAACTAAATGCTATCTTCTCTTCAGGAACACATAGAAAAGCTTATTTTTTCAAACAAGTAAATAATTATAAGATTATTCTTAGATGCAAGATCTCAATTTTGAGAGAAAAAAGAGGATGTAATTGCTAAAATACAAGTCAAAGAATCAAGAGACTCAGCTTGCAGTGAAACAGGTCAACAACAAATTCTCAAGAACTTGCTGTTCGCATCCATGATATGAGATGTTTCACTCTATAAAAAACTTCCACCAGAGTTCTCTGGTCCATGGGTAAAAGATCTAAGCTACTGCTAGCTCCTCTGTCTCTTTGTGTAGCTTTTGCATCTGTAAGATGAGGATCTTAATCTTTACCTTGTTTGGGTGCTAAGAGATTTAGTTCATTAATGTTTATAAAGTACTTCAGAGCCTTAGATGGAAAGTTGTACAGGAATGCAAATTACTATTAAGTTCTCTCATATGTTACAAAAATACAATTGTCTTGTCTCACCTAAACAGAACTCTCAAATGTAATAACGAAATTTCAAAACATTTACCATGATTCCTAGTCCTCTTCCCGCCTCCTCCATCTACTTCATCCCAGTGACACACAGTAATAATCTTCACCTCCCTCTAAAACTGAATGAAAAAAAATTGCAAAAAACTTCCTCAAATATGAAAGAATAATATTAAAACACCCAACAAATTTGAAGGCTTTTTACAAACATACAAATGAGTCAAAGCTACAGGATGTTAGTCCCTACCATTAAGGATATTTAAGCCTTAATATTTTACTTGGTAATGAAGCAAACATGTAGAATAATTATTGTCAAGCAATTAACACATTTTAGTGAAGAGGAAGTATATCATTTGCCTTAGGAAAAAAAAGCAGTATGTGCTACAGTGATGATTACAGAAATTCAGTCCAAAATTCACTGTGTTTTCTTTTACAGATTATGGTGAAACATGTTTTAGGATACCCTTCAGTATTTTTTTTGAAGTTTATTTGAATGCAATGCATTGGGCTCGTCTCTCTGAAGCAGTAAACAGTGAACATTTCCAATGTGCAGTCTTGATAAATAGGAATGAGACCAGACAGGGGAAACAAGCACACATATGAAAAAGATGGGTAACCCCTCTTCATTAAACAGAAGATGCAGCTTGTTGCTAAGGATGTTTGGCTGAAGAACTAAGAATATCCTCTAGATCTTTCTGAGGTGTACAAAAGAACAATGCAGCTACAGAGAAATACACAAAATCAAAGAACAAGTCTTGGAAAATAGCCTGAGGAAATTAACCTCTCCCCTACAAGTAAGTATACTATCTTCTCTTCATAGGCTGACAAAAACAAGGCAGTAATACATGAAGCAATTGAAACAGAAGGTGATAAAAGGCTAGGTTAAGAATTGATTTAAAATTAGAATTAAAGCTTGGATACCAAAATGGTTGGGCATAGCTTGCCTTTATATGGAGATTATCTTTTTCCACTACCAATAAGTCTAAGAAAACTTGTTTTGATTGGAAGCTATACATACTTTCCAAGCATCCTGCAAAAGGGCACAGTCAACTTCCAAAATGCCTTTGTAGTGGCAGCTTCAACAAGGTAAGTCTCCCCTGAGTATTCAAGCAGGATAGGTCTCAGTGTGCAGGGTGTTTGCTCACTGCTCTAGCTCTATGTTGCAGTCACATTACATGTTTTTCTGTGTTACACTGGTAAGAAAAAGCTGCAAGAATTCCTCCCTCATAGGAATCCTTTGATCCCCAGATTCTAGAGCAATGCGTGACCTCCTGATCTTCTGTGTGTGACCTCAGTGCTAGATGCATCAATGCAAAGATCACAGGGTTCCAAAATATGCATGAAGGAGACTCATTCTTGGAAAGAACAAGGGTGCCCTCCTTATAATAAGTAGTGAGTATGGGAAGTCTCACATCTCAACAAATGAAATTGTAGGGAGGTAGCCTGATCAGATGCTCAAAATGGTCCACAAGGTATAGTGATTTCAACAAAACAGTGCTCAGTTATTACTCTTGTGCTTTGGATTTACTGGACCTTTTCAGTAGTTGTCCCACAATTCTGCTCTGTCAAGTAAACTGAGTTTCTTCCTATTGGTAAAAAAGGTTTGTACCCAAGGATTTCCACCAGCGTGTCTCTTAGCAGTCACTTCTCACTGAGAACAGGGCTATGAGAAATAAGTTTGTCGTTGATTAACCTGTTCAGGAACACAGTATTTTTCATTGTCCATTACTCCTTCATGCCAGGAACATCTAATTGACTGCCAGGCTTCCTTATTCAGAGAGGGTATTCAAACTGTATGTAAAGGAGCATGGGAAATGTCTGTCTTAAAGAAAGGAAGATGACAAATAGGTCAACATTATTTTAAGCCTCACCGAAGACATCTTTAAAAATAGGTGTCTGCAGTTACAGAGTGCTACACCTTCCTCATTTATTTAATGCCTACCCTCTGCAATATAAACCTAATTGCAGAAATGATCCATTCAGCACAACATAAGACTACCAGGTTGCATTGTAGAGCTTTATAAAAGTCTCTGGGGTTTACTGTGCTGCTGCTGGCTCCTACAGGTCTTCAGAAGAGGACCATTCATATCAATGCTGCTCACAGGTGAAAAATTGGTCAGTCCTGCTTCTGCCTGGCACACTGCTGCCTCCAGTTTATTTTCATCGGCTGCATTTGGACTACAAATGAATCACAAACAGATACTAGATACATAACCCTTCAGGCATATGCTGTGTCATCGGCTGTGGGCCAGAGAATCAGATCCACTACATCAAACTGACATGTTCTGCCAACATCCATCATCTTGTATAATTCCATTGTATCATGACCTGTCTGAGAAAAGGTAAAGAATTAATTGTTGTGATCAAGCTAAAGAAATGTAAACCTTTGATTCCAGATATTGCTAATTAAAACAAATTTTTAAAAACCCTTCTAAATGAAGTCAATAAACAATTTCAATGGCTGTATTTCTTGTTTCAATGATTTTATGTATGTATTTGTAGAACATACATGATACGCTGTGGAAGGAACTGTTAGGGATGCATGACTAACCAAATCCAACAGGTGTTAAAACTCAGATTTATTCTTCAGCAAAACTTAGTTAGAAGTCCGGTAACATTTTATAAAACCACAGGCTCAATGACGTAAAGAGAATTAATACTACATGGCCGACTTAAGAATCCCCAAGATTTAAAGTGATGGCTCAAAATGCGCATATCACTCCCCTAAAAGCTGAGGGCTCTCTCCCTCGAGGAGTTACCTCGGCCCGAGGGGGAGTCCCCGACTGCAGACCCGCTGCTCCGAAGAGGACTGCCAACGTGTCCTCTGGCGGGATCCCCTTTGTACCCCTCTCGAATCTGACCTGTGGTCATCGAATCCTATTGGCCAGGAGGGTCACCTCGGTGTACCTGGTGCGTCTCGTTTGGCCAGTTCAAATTTCAACCTGCAGCCTCCAGGGTTTCCTTCCCCTTCTCCCTGCCTGGAGAAGTTTCGTTTCCTGCTGGCGGGATGGGGGGCGGGGGGAAGTGTACTGCCACACAACCCACCCCGTGACCACAGTCATGACTCAAATGGTTTCCTTGGAGTGGTGGTACAGTGGAACTCAGGAAGGTAGTCTATGGGACAACTCCATCCCTATGTTGCCTGAGGACCAGGTAGAAAGATGAGAAAACCTAAGTAGGCTCACAGAGTAAATTATCTGACCTACCACGCTGCAGCAGTATATCCTCATAGACAACCTGACCTTTTCAGTAGCTAGAATCAGTAATACTCAAACTATTCCTCATGGAGCGCTGCTATCATGAATCCAAGATGATACCCACAGACTGCTGGACCACCACAGTTTATGGGCATGTTCTGCTCTGTTCACAAAGCCAGTGCTCTCTTCCCATCCATCAAGTGCAGCGTAGGCTGCACCAGATGTACAGGCAGAGAGTCCCAAGTATTCAGACCACATCTTTGGCAAAGAGACTAATTTTGTGTCTTGTGCGGTGGATGTCCAGTTTTCATCTTTTCCTTTTTATCCTACTGTGGCACTGTTTGCTGCTCTGAAAGACAGCTGTCTGACCACTTGTTCAGCCATGTGGTCACACACACAGCAACTGCAATTCACCATTTTGGCAGGCTCTGAAACATTATGTCTCTTCAAATAAATACTGCTGATCACACACCAGCCAGACAGTAGTGACCACACTTCAGCAACAAGGCCTTCCTTCGTTTCAGACACATGGGAATATTGCCACTGTGTTAATTATTTGTACCTTTTGAGTGCATTAAGAGCATCACACAAGCTACAGAAGCAAGAGTCAGTGCATTTTTAAAAGTTCTGAAAGCTGTAATCATGTAGCTCTGTGATACAGCAGGACCATTGCTAACAACAGGCCATTAGCTTCACACTGAATTTGCAAGGCTTCAGGCCTGAGGCTTGTCAGCCGTGCTCTGTCTGAATATGTCTTTGTTTTGCTTGGTGCAGCTGTGTTTGCAATTCCTCTAACTGAGCAGTTGCGTACCTCTAATTTGTTTTACTTTTGTTTATCTTTGTACAACGACAGTTTTATATAGATAGCAGTAAAACACAGTTACTCTGTGTAGAATGAGATACTTACAACTCTAACATAATGATGTAGTATGAAGAGATATATATTCTGGTCCTATAGCAGAGGCCTTAAGAAGTGGAGACACAGGATGTGGTATAGAGGAGTACAGGTATAGAATGATAAGAGATGCAGCACAGACTTGGCACTCGTGACTATAAACAACTCAGCCATGATCAGTAACAAAATGCAAACTCGGACAAAATTGGGCTTAGAGGTAGCTAAGAGAACAAAGCAGCAGTATCCAGTACATGTTAAATGCACCATACATTATAAGTCCAGATGTATCATGGAGCTGCAGACCAATGAAGAAATGGCAAAGGTGTAAAAATGTGTTAGCAAATGTATAAAAATGACCCCAAGTGGTGGATCCTAGAGTGAGGAAGAAGGAACCATCAACATGAACATCCTAGTTCTCCTTGCACAGGACTCTAGATGCTGACAACTCACGGTAACACCCCCACCAGAACAAAACCACTGACCTTGGGACACAGAGGAGTAGTGAAAGGGCGAGCATAACCCCCCAAAATGGGGAGAAGCTAAATAGTGTTTGTAAAGCAATTCTAACTGCATTATTATTCTTTCTTTTTCTGCAACAGATGTAGACTAATAATGATTCTTGAATGAGACTGCTAAGATTTCAACTAAGTGAATTTTTAAAAATCATGGATATATATTATATATATTCACACACATATATACATATATAATAATGTGCGCTTCCTCTTTGTCTGTAAACAAGATTTTGAATGTAGCAGACTACTGATTCCATTGCTGAGGCTATCTCCCAACACCATCTATATTTGCTTACATTGCACCAATGGAGATAGAGGCAGACAAAAGACAGTACTGAAGCTATGGTGAGTCTAAATATTGAGCAAAATTGAGTAAGTCCAGTTACAGCTTAAGTCAGGGAACGTGTCCTGATTGGTGGAAATTACAAAGATAGGTCAAAATACGACAGTGGACAATTAGTTCAATTATGGAAGTAAAACCTTAATAGATGTTTTTAGTTTGGTAGGAAATTTGAGGACTCAAATGTCAAATATTTTAAAAGGACTTGTTTTCTCATTACGATTCTCACCATTTCCTGTTGAGAACAGTTGAACAAAACATTCATATGACTTAGCTTCCTGCAAGTCAAGAAACAAAATTAATTAGAAGACTTTTCTTTCCAATTGCTGTTGTCTGTCTAGACAAATTGAATGATGAAACTTTCAGTTGAGAAGTTTTTAAATTCAAATGCATAGTGAATTCATACAGTCAAAATCAAACATTCTCAGGTGGTTTCCTTTTTTCACATCTCCTGAAATGCAGTCATTCAGAATTGCCAGTTCTTCCTAAAAGCAGGACAGAACTCATACATGCTAAAATTGTGTATATTATTCAGTTTGGGGAAGTCAATGCTAGAAGCTTCCTTTTTTTAGCAAGGAATGTGGTGGCCTTTCTTCTTTAAGTAACATAATTCTGTAAGTTCATGAACTAGTTGCCAAATTTCTTGATATGAAATACGAATAATCAGGCAGTAATTCTACAAGTTACAATGACTGTAAGAAATAGTCTTTAAATACATTATTCTGTGACTGTAAACAGGAATTCCTTTATGGAATAAAACTAATTATTTGATCCAATGTCAACATTTGATTATGCAGGGATATGACAGGAGACTGGGAAATTATTCAGATAGAGCAAAACATATGTAAATCAGGATACAGGATATATACACAGTGAACTCTCCTGAGAAAGTACTTGTGATCAGATGACTATAGAAAGTAGGTGCGACTATGAATAATAGAAGGTAGAATACTGCATAATCTCAGGTACATCACTGCAGCCAAGCAAACCAAAGGAAAGGCCTACCTAAGTCACAGTTTAGATTAATTCAAAAATAATCAAAAGTTAGCTGTAGTTCGGTACAGTGTTTCAACATTCTTAGTACCAGGCTTTGCAGAATCTTTTTCAATTAGCTAAATAATAAGTACAGCTTGCCTGTTTCTCTGAATTTTGCACAGGTTACATTAAAGATTACAAGCACACAAGAAAAAAAAATATGCACCTTGAAGGATACCAGTTATGCACTGGACTGCAACTCAGGAGATGTAGGTTTCATTCTCAAGATTGCTGATGATTTGCTGAATGCTATTGGGCAACTTATTTTTGGTTTCTGTGTTTCCCTAAATATACTTTATCTATATTGTCTTTACAGAATTTAGCCATACAGAAATTATTCATGGCAGATCTGGCTCTTGTTACTTTTCACACAGTAGGAAACACAATGGACGCTAATCTCAGTGGAGAGCATCTATGTACTAATGCCTGTCCTGGTTTCAGCTGGGATAGAGTTAATTTTCTTTCTAGCAGCTGGCATAGTGTTATGTTTTGGATTTAGTATGAGAAGAATGTTGATAACACACTGATTATTTTAGTTGTTGCTAAGTAATGCTTATACCACAAGTTTTTGGTTGTTTTTTTTTTCCCCTTCTGATTCTCTCCCCCATCCCACTGGGTGGGGGAAAAAGCCCCACACTGAGTGCCAAAAAGGACTGTCATGGTTTAACCCCAGCCTGCAACAGCACCACGCAGCCACTCACTCCCTTCCCCCACCCAGTGGAATGGGGGAGAGAATCGGAAAAAAAAAAGGGTAAAACTCTTCTTTGAGATAAGAACAGTTTAATAAAAAGGAAGAAACTAATAATGATAATAACAATAATAAAATGACAATAATAATAATAATAATAACAACAATAATAATAAAAGGATTGGAATATACAAAACAAGTGATGCACAATGCAATTGCTCACCACTTGCCGACCAATGCCCAGTTAGTTCCTGAGCAGCAATCCGTCCCTGCCCAACTCCCCCCAGTTTATATACTGGGCATGACGTCAAATGGTATGGAATACCCCTTTGGCCAGCTTGGGTCAGCTGCCCTGACTGTCCCCCCTCCCAACTTCTTGTGCCCCTCCAGCCTTCTTGCTGGCTGGGCATGAGAAGCAACAACTGAAAACTTCATACTGAACCCAAAACATAACACTGTACCAGCTACTAAAAAGAAAATTAACTCCGTTCCAGCCCAAACCAGGACA